GCCGCGGCTTTTACCGCCAGGAGGTGACCAAGACCGCCTGGGAGGTGCGCGCCGTGTACCAGGACCTGCAGCCCGTCGGTTCGGGCGCCTATGGCGCCGTATGGTGAGCGCAGGCCGGGCGGGGTGGCCGGGCGAGGTGGCTCAGTCCTCCTGCTAAGCGGTGCGCCCCACAGCTCGGCGGTGGACAGCCGCACAGGCGTCAAGGTGGCCATCAAGAAGCTGTACCGGCCCTTCCAGTCCGAGCTGTTCGCCAAGCGCGCTTACCGCGAGCTGCGTCTGCTCAAGCACATGCGCCACGAGAATGTGAGTCGCGCGGGCCCTCGGCTCCGGGACACCGCGCCCATTGCTCTGCTTATCGCCCTCCTCTCCAAAAGGCCTGCCCTAGGAGACCTGGCCCCACTACCCAGACCCTAGAATGCGCCCCTGTGTGATGGGGGCAGAGGTGAGCAGTCAGGGCTGTGTCCCCCATGAACAGGGTTGGGGGGTGTCAGAGTAGGGAGGAAGAGCCCCCGCTCTTCCTGAGAGAGAAGCTTCCCCAGGGGCTAGTCCTCTCTTAGGCCAGTCCCTGCGGAGGACTTAGTTCTCTGGCTTCTTCCTGGGGCCACATCTGGCTCCTCAGCCCAGGTCCTGGTCAGGGGATGGCCACTTGCCCAGACGGAGGGGATCTTCCAGGTCCCACTCCAAACCCTGAGGTGAGAGGACCTCGGGTGGGAGGAGTGAGTTTCCTGGAAGGGGCACTGAGCCTCAGCCCTCTTTCTGGGCATCCCCCTGCAGGCCCACCTGGTCCCCCTTCTCCAGCCCTTCCAGCCCCACTCCTGACCCTACTCTGCCCCTCTACCTCCTGAACCCCAGCCCTAGGAGCTGGGGGCTCCTGGGAACACTGAGGGAGGCATGGACTGGGTGTCTGCATCTCAGCTCGGCAGCCTCAGAGCCTTGGGGTCTCTGGCAGTGGAGGGATTTAGGGCGCTGGAGGGCACTGGGCACAGTAGGCGGCACACAGACCCTCCACATCCACAGGGGTGGGTTTCACAGACTGGGGGAGGAGCGGGTCTGGCTCCTACCAGGGAAAGGCCTTATGTTGTTTCCAGACCTGCTCACAGGACACGACACGGAACAGCCCACTGGCCTCTCTGGGGGACGTGGCTGCCGGAAAGGGCCCTTTTCTCTGCTAGGGGAGTTTCCTTCGTTCCTCCATGTAGGTCCTCCTGTGGCCCTGAACTCTCCCCCTCCCACATGAGCCACTGTCGCCCAGTCTGAGGGCTGTTCATCAGGGCACCCAGACCATGGCCGATTGTGCTCCCAACAGATGGCCTGGCACCTCCTGGGTCATCAGAGCCACTGGTCTCCCCCTGGGAGAATGAGTCCTCATGTCCCCTATGAAGCTTGTCCCCTCAGCCCCTGTCCAGTGTCCACCCTCTTACCACCTCTGATGGGTCCTTCATTCTCTCTGATTTTTCCAACCTTGACCTTTCCCAGGTGAAATCCATTTGTGGTGTCATGGTGGACGCCAGCGCAGCCTGGGCCTTGCTACCTCCGGGTCACACCTGGTCACACCCAGGACTTGTCCGTATGAGGGTAGATTCCTCTACCAGAGGCTTCATACGGCTTCTCTGCCACCCCACCCCAGTCCAGCAAGGTCACTAGTTCTTCTGTTCAGTCGCCTCCCATCCCTGACCTGCCTCAGCCCCCTCCTCCGGGAGCTTACTCCCCAACCTGTGCTGGGGCCGTCCCCACTGTGCTGGTGGGTCCTACCCTCCTGCCTCCAGCCCCGCTCCACAGCTGGGACACTCTGCTTTTCATAAACCCATTCTCCTGGGAGGAAATGGGCTCTGAGAGGCTGAGCGCAGCTGTAGGTGGAGGAGTTACCATCTGCCCCGGTCCTACTCCTCTGCCCCAGCTTAGGCCTCCTCCCTCCCCTCCCCCTACTCCAGGCCTCCATCTGCACCAGAAGCTTAGAAGTCTCCATCAACCCCATGGACCTTCCCCTTAACCTCTGGGATTCTTGCTAAAACATCCTCCTCATGCCCCAGGCCTCACCTGCCTTCATGCCCCCCTCTGGATGCCCCACTCTGTTCCCCTCCCCTGCCCATGTCTCTGGCCCTGGTGGCTGCATTGGTCACCTAGCTGTCCCTTCACCCTCCACCTCATGTCCACGCTTACCTTGCTCTGGTTTGTCCTCACACAGCAGCCAGGGGACACATTCAGCATCATGCCTATTTAAGCCCTTCCTCGGTGGCTCTTAGGGTCAAAGCCAACCTTCACCTGGTGTTCGAGGGCCTTCTCGGGTTCCCTTTGGCTTCTCCTTGGCTACTCCCTGGCCTGGTCCTCAGCCACTTGGCCTCTCTCCCCGTGTTCCTCAAACTCTCTAAGTGTTCTCCCTCCTTCCAGGCCACCACGTGCATGGCCTCTGCCAGGTGTGCCCCGCCAGTACATCCACCTGCCCCTCTAGCCACTCTGAAGTGCAGGCCTGCTGGGCTTCCCGGAGGCCCTGTCACCCGGACCCCCGGTTGCCAGTCGTCACATTGTCTGCTGTACATCCCCCCTGACCAGAGGTCTGCGGGGCCAGGTCTGCCTGTGGTTTGGTCATAGTGCTGCCGGCCTGGGCCCCCCTCGCAGAGGCACGGTCCCTGGAAAGACCTGCCAGATGTCAGCTCTCTCCTAGTAGGCTGTCACCACACTGGTCCTGTGTCTTCAATGGGGACAGGAAGAGGTGGAGGAAGGGCCAAGGGTCTAGAGCTCCTTGGATGGCTGGGAGCTGCCCCTCCCCCAGAGAACTCCGGCTGTCACCATCCAAAAATAGTCTTTGTGGGCACGTGTGCCAGGGCTGGGTTGAGCTGCCAGCGGGCAGAGCCAGGCCCTGTGGACGGGGGGAGGCCAGGACAGCTGCAGGGGCCTTCCTACCCGAACCAGGGTGTGCCCGGCCCTGTGCCCCTGGCTGCCCCCAGCCCACCTGGCGCTCTGGCCTCCTCCCCAGGTGATTGGGTTGCTGGATGTCTTCACGCCCGATGAGACCCTGGATGCTTTCACAGACTTGTAAGCGCCGGCCTGGGGCAGGCTCGGCAGGGCAGGCGGTGTTGGGTGGCCCCTGGGTGTGAGCCTCAGGTTTGGGGTTGGCAGGGGCACTGCCTGAGGCGGGCCTCTCCTTGCAGCTTGATGGGGGTTAGGGTGCACACTGCCTGCCCCTTAGCACACCACAGTCCTCCCCCTGCCACGTACCCCAAGGACTCACGGGGCTGGTCCAGCTGGGTGGACCTGGGCCTGCTCCTCTAGTGCGGAGCCTTGGGTCTGAGTGTTTGTTAGCAGGCCCCGCACTCCGGGTCCGTGGCACTAAGTGTGTGGCCTGTAACTGGAGCTGCTGACCTTTGCTGGCAGGCAGGGGAGGGGTGACGGGGACCCATGGTGGTCCTGCCCTGCCAGCCTGCCCTGTGGTTGCCCAGGCGGCCACCCCTGGACTCACGCTGGTGTCGGCCAAGGGCCTGGGAAGGGCTGGGGAGGACAGGCTCCTTGCTGCTTGACCTTGCAGGGATCAAGGGCCCACCCTGGCCTATCCTGGTGGGGTGCTGACTCTCTCCCTCTGTCTCTCCCCCTGTCTCTCCCCATCCACCTGCCCAGCCTGCCCTTCTGACCCAGATGTCCGGCTGCCCCACCGCCACCCGCAGCCACTTCCCTCCTTTCTTCCTCTCCCACCGTCCCCTGCAGGGAGCCCCGGCCCCTAGCATGGCCTGCCATCCTTGGGGAATCCTCAGAGCACAGTCCCCATCTGCCCTACATCATGGGGCTGCTGGGGTGGAAGGAGACTGTGGGAGGTGGACTCGGGTTGCCTCGGGGATGCCTGCCCTGTCCCCGCAGTTACCTGGTGATGCCATTCATGGGTACCGACCTGGGCAAGCTCATGAAGCACGAGAAGCTGAGCGAGGACCGGATCCAGTTCCTTGTCTACCAGATGCTGAAGGGGCTGAAGGTGGGATGTATGGGGCTGCTGGAGGGGTGGAGCCCCTAAACTGGGCCAGGGCTCTGAGGTCCCCATGAGCTGACTACTGCTGCCCCTCTGCTGTCCCCACAGTACATCCACGATGCTGGCATCATCCACAGGGTGAGTCCTGGTTGTGGTGGGAGCTTCCCAGACTGTGGGCCTGGGAGGGGCTCAACCTCAGGAGCCTCCTTCCTCACCTGGGAGGAGCCTGACAGGGTACTTGCCTGCACTCAGCCCTGGGGGCCGGGCACCTCCACCCTTCCGAAGGGCTGCAGGTGTGGCCTGGGCTCTTGCCCTCGAATCCTGGTTGGCAGGCCTGCACAGCCATCTTCCTTCTGTCCCCAGGACCTGAAGCCTGGCAACCTGGCAGTGAATGAGGACTGTGAGCTGAAGGTGTGTATGGGGTTGGGGATTCGGTTCACCTCACACCTGGCCATCTGCCTGCCTCGCCCTTGGCGCTCAGACCTGGAAGGGGGCTGGCCCAGACCCAGGCAGAGGGACCAGACCCCAGCCATCTGGGCAGTGGCTGAGCAGCCGCTGGGCTCTGGGGAGGCACCTGATGGGCATGGCATGGGCCACACTCCCAGACCTGCTTGAAGTGAAGGGCGAGAAGTGTGCCTGGTTCCCCAGGCCTGAGCCTGGCAGGGCTGAGGTGGCCTCCCCACAGGTGCTGGCCATTTCCTGGGGTGAGGGGGTAGAGGAGAAGGTGGAGGAGAGCCTCCAGGGTGCCTGTTCCTAAGGGTTGTGGGCAGGCAGGTTTGGTTGGGCTGTGTGCACTGTCCTCCGGGAGGGTTTGCAGGAGGCTCTGATGTGCCCAGCCTCTTTGGGGGTCCCTGGACCACAAGCTGGCCCACCCACTCCCCGGGGGCCCCTTTGGCCCACTTTTCTGATTCTGGCTGTAGATTCTGGACTTCGGCTTGGCCAGGCAGGCAGACAGCGAGATGACTGGATATGTGGTGACCCGGTGGTACAGGGCACCCGAGGTCATCTTGAATTGGATGCACTACACACAGACGGGTGAGAAGCTGCCCAGAGCCCCAGCCTACACTGGCACCAGCCTCCTGGGCTGCGCCCACCGGCCTCCCTCTTTCTTCCTGGGAAGCCCATGGTGGCTGCTCTGTGGGGAGGCTGCTGAGCTGGGCTGGGAGCTGGGCAGGGCGTGGCAGGCTAGATGGCTCCTGTTGTCCATGCCCCCTCCACTGCCCCCACTCCTGTGCCTATCTCCCCCACCCCAGTCCATGTGTGCCCCACTCCCTAGTCCCCATAGCCCTGATGCAGGGGCTTCTGTCTCAGTGGACATCTGGTCAGTGGGCTGCATCATGGCAGAGATGATCACAGGGAAGACACTCTTCAAAGGCAACGATCGTATCCTACACCTGGGGCAGGGGCGGGGTTTGCCCTGCACCTGTGGGGGGCAGGCCGGGCCCATTGTCCAGCTCTGGGGTAGGTGAGCCCTGCTCTCTGGCCCCACCTTGTACTCCTGACCTTGGCAAAGACCTGGACCAGCTGAAGGAGATCATGAAGGTGACGGGGACGCCCCCTGCTGAGTTTGTGCAGAGGCTGCAGAGCGATGAGGTCAGTTGGGAGCTGGGCGTGGGCCGGAGGGCTGGGGGCTGGCCCCTCACCCTTTGTTCCCACACAGGCTAAGAATTATATGAAGGGCCTCCCTGAGCTGGAGAAGAAGGATTTTGCCTCCATCCTGACCAATGCGAGCCCTCTGGGTAGGTGGGCCTGGGTGGGCATGCAGTCAGTGACAGGGGCCTGGGGCCTAGGAGCCTCCCCTTGGCCCAGCCTGATCTGCCCAACCCCCCAGCCGTGAACCTCCTGGAGAAAATGCTGGTGCTAGATGCAGAGCGGAGGGTGACGGCAGCCGAGGCGCTGGCCCACCCCTACTTTGAGGCCCTGCAGGACACGGAGGACGAGCCCAAGGCCCAGAAGTACGATGAGTCCTTTGATGACGTGGACCGCACACTGGATGAGTGGAAGCGTGAGTCAGGGGCTCTGGCAGGGCTCAGGATCCTGGGTCCCTCAACCCCAGGAACAGAGTAGGGGGTCAGAGGGCAGCTGAGTCTCTTGGTCAAGGTGACCTCTGGCTAGAGCTGAAGGATGGAAAGGAGGGCATTCATGGCCAGGACTTGGCACAAACGGGAGATGAATTCTGGAAACTGGGGAGGCAGCTGCAAGCTCAGGGCAGCTGTGAGCGCTTAGCCTCCCCGGGCCCCCAGGCCTGCCGGCACTCCCCGCCCCGACTAGGCCAGACTGGGCTACCGTGGAGCCCCTCAGCACCCACTCCCCCGGGCCGCTCCTCATACCTCTGGAATCTTCATGCCTCTCTTTGCCCCTTTCAGGTTGCCCCCTGACATGGACAGCTGCACACCCCTCATCCTGCCAGCAGGATGAGGTCTGCCCCAGGCAGCCCATAGAACCTCATGCTTTCTTGCTACTCATCCCTGACCCCTCCAGCCCCACTGGGTGTTCAGACCCCCTTCCATTTGTGCTCTGCACCTCCCGGCTTCGCACTGGCCATCCCCTTAGACCCAGACCCTTCTCCTCCCGTCTGAGGGCTGCCAGCATCTGCTCGGCCTCTGGCTGGGCTCAGGGACACCTGGCCAGTCCCAGGCCTCCTTCTACTGGGGTCCTGACACACCATGCTGGAATGGGCCTCACCCATGTCTACTCCAGGACAGCAGGTGTCTCCCCTCAGTGGCTGCAGGGCCTGCCTGGGAGTGCAGGGATGCCTAAGGGCAGTGCTTAACACCATTGACGCTATAGCACATGGCTGCCATTGTCCTAGTCTCATCCTTGCTCTGCCTCAGACCCAGGGTCATGGTCCTGCATATGGGGGTAGGGATGGGGCTGGAAAGACTGTGGTTCTCAAACCATGTTCCTCAGGGTCATTGGATTCTTGGTGCCTCCAGCAGGGCCTCCGCCTTTATCTGTGCTGTGTTTTGTGTTTATGTTTTCCGTTGCTAAAAAAGATAACGTGAAAACCACGGGCCACAGGATCTTCTCTGCGGTTCCCACCACAGACCGTAGTAAGAGCTTTTGCTTTTACTACAGACCATGTAGGACCAAAAAAGGAAACATGACCTCCTTGTGGCTGAGCCCCTGATCAGAAATGCAAACCCATTACCTCATTTCCCTGGGAAAAGCCAGCTTTATAGCAATGGCCCCCTCACACAAACCTTCCGTGTGGACTGGCCCCTGTGTGAGGATTAGACGAAGGGCCTGGGAGGCACCCCATGGGGTGGGAATAGACCTGTGTCAACATGCTGGGCAAACCACACAGACCACCGGCTCGGAAGGCAGAGTCCTTCCTGCATTGGGCCTGTGGGGACCAGTGGTCCCCAGAACAGGTGCTCCCCTGGTCAGGTGAGTGTGGGAGCATTGGGGTAGGCTGAGCGGAACTGTCCCTTTGCAGACCACTCAGAGGGGAGACAGAGCCTGCAGGCTCCCCACCCTTCCTGTGGGACGGCTCACTCTGGGAACACAGTTCAGGGAACATGACCGCAGGCGAGGAAGGTGGATGTTGCAGGTAGTTGGTGGGAATTCCTCACTCATTTGAGCCTTCATAGAAATTCTGGATCCGGAAGCTGGGGTGTGCCCTGGTGGGACCCTGAGCAGCTCCACTTGAGTGAGCACATTAGTTTTCATTCCTAGGATGTTCTTGGTTCACTGCGGTGGGCGGTAGGGCCAAGGGCATGCTAGGGGTGGTGGGTTTGGGTTACAGGAGCCCCATCAAGGTGGACAGTCCCTGTGGATGGACACGGGTGGGTTGAGAGTGGCCGTGGCCTGGGATGGACTTGCACGTGTGGGACAAAGGAGCCCATCTGGTGCCTATGCCCCAGCAGTGATCTCTGACTCTTGTTTTGGGGGGGTGGGCCTCTAGGTCAGTGACTAACAGCCTATGCTCTGGGCCTGGGAGCTCTTCCCACCCCTATCTGAGTGGGGTCTCACAGGACTTACCACTGGTCCGGGTGGCACCCGGTGAGCTGGGCCCAGTGCTTTGCCTTGGTCACTGCATCCACGCCTGGTGTACACTGTGGGAGCTGGGTGACAGGGAAGGACCCCTCTCCCATGACTGTCTCTGCTCCTCTCTCCTGGCCTCAGGTGACACATATAAAGAGGTGCTCAGCTTCAAGCCTCCCCGGCAGCTGGGGGCCAAGGTCTCCAAGGAGACAGCCCTTTGAAGACCCCTGGGCCCTGGCTGGGGCTTCCGCCTGGAACGGAGATCCTGTTTGCCACCATGACCATGACCATGACCATGTTGGAACTTACATCCCAGGAGCCTCTTGGTTCCATGGAACCCCTCTGCAAGTCTGCCACCTTGCTCAGGCCCCATCTCAACTTGCTGCGGAGGAGTGTCTGGGTTTTCTGGACAGGATGCCTGCTCTGACCCCTGAGTCGTGGTTCCTCCCCAGGTGCAGCGAGAAGCCTAGAGCCTGTGGGGCAGGATTGGTTTTGGGGTCAAGGCCAGGCCCCTGACCCTGCCTGTGCTGGACTGTGCTGAGGCCCAGCTTGGGCAGGGAGGGCGTGGGGTGCTGACTCAGGGATGTGTCTCCTGGGGGCATTGGTGTGGACGCTCCTGCACCCCAGCCTGGAATGTAAATTGGCCACGTGATAATGGCCACCTGGCTTGAAGGAAATAAACCTTTTTGTAGAGCTCCCACTCTGGCCTCAGTTCCTGAGTTTTGGGCTGGATCTCAAAATTTAGGCTTCTGAACTGCAGCTCTGTATAGAGTAAGGAGGCCGGCCTGGGAGCCTCAGGCCTGTCCTGGCCCACTGGGCCTTCCCTCCCAGGTCACAAAGCTGGTGCCCACCTCTCTTCCATCCTGTGCCAGTGAGCCCCAAGCCTGGTGACCCTGCATTAGGGCTTGGCCTGTCCCCTCTTGTGGAGCGGCCTACCTCTAATGGCTTAGACACTGGCACCAGGCCTAGGGCAGGGACTGATGGGGGTAGGAGGTTAGGGTCCAACATGGGGCTCAGTCTCCGATGTTTGGCCTCCCTGCACTCTTCAAGGCCGGGGTCCTGGGGAGGCAGGGTCAATCAAGCTAGGCGCCTCCAGACGGCTGTCCCACAACGGAAGGATGGGTTCTGTGCGCTTTTCCTGCCCCTTCCTGGGCCACGCCCCCGCGCCATTTACGAGCCTGCGCAGCCCTCGGCTGGCCATTCGACGTCTCCGAGGGCCGGCAGCTGAGTCAGGGGCCAACCTTGGGTTCTTGCGGCCACCCTGGCTCCTCCCACCTGTCCCCCTGGTAGGTGCGCCGAAGTTGGGGCCAGGCTGTCTCCCTTCTCCCGACCTGGAGGTCGGGTAGACGTACAGCTGGTCAGACGAGTTGTTACAGTGGATACCGGCCTTCTCTGTCCAGGGGCCCGTCCCGCGCTTCTGTGACAGAGCCCGGCCCAGACCCTCCCCGCTCCCAGCGATCCAAGCGGGACTGTCTGCAGCAAGCCCCGCCTTCGTGACCACGCGCTCAGATTGACCAATCAGAGCACGCCGTTCCCTAGCCTCCGTGACTGGCTCTGCGGCGAGCACAGATTCCCCGAGCCCGGCGGGCCGCCAGCCACCCGTGCCGCCGGTACCCTAACCAGGACGTTGGTGGTCCACACGAGGCGGCGGGCAGCAGGGCCCTGTCAGGGGCACCCTCGCCCCAGGGCCCAGCCTCCAAGACGCCGGGACCCCTGCCCACGCCCCAGTTCCAAGAGACCCACCTCCAGGGCTGTGTCTCCAAGATGCCCGGCCTCCCAGAATCCAGAACCCCTGCCCAAGCCCTGTCTGTAAAAGACCCGCCCAGTTCCCCGCCTACAAACCCCTGGGCCCTGCCCACGGACCCGCCCCCAGAGCTCAGTCCCCAGCGCCGCTCGGTTTCAGGCCGGCGGCCCATGTTTCCTCCACTCTCTGGCCACCTTGTTACTGGCTGTGCCCGTGTCTCCTCCTTTGCTGGCCCTATTCATTCATTCACTCACTCATTCATCCCTCTTCCACACCCTTCCTCCTTTGGCCTTTCCCTCAGTTCAGCCTCCCGCCCTGCTTTCCCCAAAGTTGCTCCGCTCAGGTCCAGCTTCTCTGCTACTACCCTGACCCTCCGACTCGTTTGCTCCTTCAGCTCCTAGAGCTTCAGATCGGACACTGTCACTCCCTTCATGAGCCTTGGGGTCAGCGCCCAGTCCAAGCTAAACCACGACCACAGTCCCTGGGTGGGGCTCTCTCCCCCTCGTGACCTTGACCCTGCGGAACCTCGGTCTCGCCCTCCTTGCCGCGCAGCTCCTTCCTGACTCTGGCTGCAGGGGGGCGGGTCTGGGGCAGCGCTGGGCGCGATGGGCTGCTGACGTCTGACCGGTGGTCTGCGCGGTCGGGTGGGCCTTGGGGCGGAGGGGCACGGACGCGCGTGGCTCGGCTCAGCGCGTAGGTGGGGCCGCCGCGACAGTCCGCATGAGCCTGGGCACACTGGTCCTCGGTCCTCACGCCCGTCCCGCTCTCACCTTCCGGATGGACGCCGAGGTCGGGTGACCCGCG